AGAAAGATAGTTGATTGTTGATTCCTCGCCCTGATAGGTCACCTGGTAGAACTGGCGCCCCTTTTACCAAGGCTGAGACCTTGCTGCAGTCATGGGTTTGATTCCAGCCTGTGCGCCTTTGCTGCATGTCATCCCTTCTCTCCCCCACCCCTTTCCTGTCACTCTTCAGCGGTCACTAACAATTAAAGGCAATAAAAAGCCCCCCCAAAAAATCCTCCAACCAGAGCATTTTCATATATTTCTTGGCTCTTCACAGATTGTCTCATGTACTACTGTCATGATATGGTGAAAGTTTCAGCAAATATGACAAAAAGTTATTTTATAAACGTTACCTACTGCAGCTTTAACTTGCACGGATTTGGTCATTTTTTACTTTTAGAGCTTTAATCAGACCCAAAACATCTGGCCCTGGAAAAATTCCATGCAAGCCCAAACCGAGCAACCAAGCCCGACCCGAACCCAAATTTTTACTTAAAAAGAATAAATAAATAAATAATTTTAGGTTTATTACAAGCTAAAGCAAACTATTTTGTGCAAATAATATAGTCCAAATTATTATCAAAACTAATAATTAACTCACTCATTAATTACAGTTGCATGCATTATTAATAAAATATTATTGGCAGCAGTTTTGGAATCTGTAGACAAAGACTGACTAGGTGTAAATGTATTATAAAATATCAATATAATCTGCCCTTGAAAGCATATTTGGGAACATACTGTATATGTAATACATTTGGGGTGCCACTACTGTGCACCACCTTGGCTAGAGCTGGATATGATGTAGTGCAGGTTAGGGGAACGACAAATCTAATAATTTTTAACCTAAATTAGACGTAGATGTCCAGTACAGGTGCATGTTACATTTAGGAAAGTGGTGTTCAGAGCTATACATACATTTATTTATCAGCCAAAGTGTACAACTTGCAAAGTAAGAAGAATACAGCACTTTTGTCAAGGTCTGAATTAAACCCCATGTAAATTTATAAATATTCAGCAGTTAGCATGCTGTACGACCTCTCAGGCCTTCTAAACCAAAATCAGCTTATTCAGTCACAGTCTAAGAGCGTGCAGAGACTCTGTCCTTGAATATTAAGATGACCTTTGAAAAAGGATGCACAACAGGGGCTTTGACACATTTAGCCTGCTTGCAAACTCAAAATGTTATGTTATTTAACGCACCTAGAAACATCCACAACCCAGGAGTTGCCAAAGAGTCAGGTTTATGAATAGATAGTCAATACTGTGTTTGAGTTGCTCCGTACCATATAAATTGTGGGTTTACAATGAGAATGCACAGTGTACAAAATTAATTCTCCATGCTCGAGGTAAAATAAATCTATATACCAACGTCTATCATCATTTATGCACTAAGATCAGAGATTGAAAAGGCGATGGAGGCAGAGAGACGCTCTCCATCACATGTACCATAGCCCCAGTTTCAAGTCTCATTCATTGTACCACTCAGGCAATTGCTCAGTGGCTCAGGTTCACTGGCTCTGTCTAAGCATGTAAGCACCGTCCCATTAAAGCCTAGATTGAGTGGTTATGCTTCCCTGTCTGAGACTAATGGACAGATTATGACCTGAGAGAGAGATGACTGATTATTATACCTGTCTGTAGCCTCTGTCTGTTCCTTCATCACTTTGTCCCTCATTGTACCCCTATTTCTGCTCCCCACATTCTCCTCTCGATCAATTCAATTTAAAGGCACTTTATTGGCATGAAAGATACACCTCTTTGGCACCTTTGCACATCATTGGCAAGATAAAGAATGGGTGCCACAAGTGAGCATCATTTTATCAAGGCTAGAAGGCCTCATCATCCAGCAAAAACACAAATGACAAAGCAGAATTACACCATTAATTAGCAAAATGGTGTAATCCAGCTTGACTTAATGTTTCTGTTGGATCTGTGCTATCTAGAATGCTGGTCTACATTATGAAGGTCAGAGTGTTTTATTATTCTTGGTTATTACCCCCCCTCAATTCCTTACCCCACTGGCTGCCAGAATTCATCGAGAAACACTGACTGTAGCAAACAAGGTGCGTAAGACCACAGCAGCCCTTTCCCAGGATATCAATGTAGCACTGTATTCTAGTCCAGTTTAAGCTCATGTATGAATGTACAAGAACAATATTACAGGTTGACCTTCCTTCTCCTCTTTGAGACAACCTAGCATGATCATCAGACTCTTTCTGAACTTTCAGGGCAATAGGGCTGAAGATTGTCTAAAGGATTACGATATACCAATACACAGTACACTAAAAGCTCAGCTGTCAATCATGACATAAAACAGCCTTTTTTATAGCTTTAACTAACTTAATAAAACCAATTTCTAACAAAAATGAACACTTAAACATACAGCAGCATGATCAGAACTATCTAAAATGACGTACGCCATCTTTGGGAAAAATGTATTTGACGTGTACTTGACTTATTTTTTAGTTGGCCTGATGTCCCATCTGCTAACATGGAGGGTTTCTTACCTATACTGCAGCCAGCCACAGGGGGGTCAGATATTTCGGCTTCATTTCTGGGGAGCTGATATCCATCTTCACTGTCCATCTTTAATGCTCTGTACAGTAATCTGTGAGCTATAGGTTCTACATTTATCCCTCTCCTTTGTTTAGGGCTGTTGTAATAATGTCATCTATTGATCTTCAACAATTCCAAAACCATTTTGGTTTTCTTGGTAATCCACAGAATTGTAAAATACAGCAAACAAGATTAATAAAAAAAAGATAATTAATCTCATGAATTGTGCCATTTTACGAAGGTGTGAATGGTGCCAGAGTAGTGCTGCATGTCATTTTTGGGCTTGTGTTAAGAAATGAGGTCGCTAGGGAACAGGCTTTATTTTAATTGCAGCTACTTTATAATACACAATTGGACATGATGTCCCTACACTTCATCTCCAAGTGTCATTTTCCTTATGCTTACATTTAGTTTTACTATTTTTATCAGCTGTGTGTAATCAGAAAGAGGCTACTTGTGACAGATTTTGGGCTCTTTATTGTGGTTATTAAATTGGTATTAAATTTAATTCCAGGTGGCATTATAAACGTCTTTAAGTTATAAATCTGACTTTGTGAAACGTGCAGATACTCTCAATGCTTTATACCGAGCAGTTCCTGTACAACCAGAAAACAGGTGGGAGAGAGCTTTTATCTCCGCTGTTTAAAAATACAGAGAGGCACCAGATGGAGAGAAAGAAGAGGAGGAGGAATAGGACAGTGAAATAAATACTTTTTGATGTGTGTGTGTGTGTGGTAACAGATAGTGAGGCATGATAAATAATTCCTGGTGTGTGTTAGGATTGCGTGTGGGTTGGTTAATAGCAGTGGTTGTAGGGTAAAAGCTGGCATGTAGATAGTAAAATCTGAACACCTTATAATTTTAACCAAGATAAAAGGACAAAACAGTGAGAGAAAAGGGAGGATCAGCCAATGATTCTGGAAGTATTTTTCTACACAAAAAATTACCATTTCACAGTTTACTTTTAATAATACCTTCAATGTTCCTCAGCATAGAATCGCAAGAGTAGAGGTTACTGGATAATTTAACAAAAGAATTGGGTTTAAAGCTGCACTACACAACATTTTTATGACCAATGCCGGAAATTACTATACGAAATGTAAAAGGTGTCATTGTGACGGATCTACAGAACCATCCCCAGACTCTGCAGTTCCCCTCAGCTCTACAGAACATTTTATCCCTTTTTCAGCTCATTGTTTGGGTTTTGCAGCTTGCAAGGTTTGTCATAATCTCTATAAACAGATATCTGTATCTATCTATCTATCTATCTATATTGTAAGTGTTCTGGTTTCCTCTGTGGTCCAAGTCTGACCAATCACATTTGAGCGGGCTTTGGTTCCATGCAGGTCAACAACAAGGTTCCAACAGTCCATGTGGAGAGCAAAAGAGGCAGCAGCGAAATGCAATATCAGAACCTATTTTTATTTGCTAGCTTTTTATTAGCTCTTTTAAAATATGTTTACAGAGAAATATAGAGAAATGTTTATAAAGAAATGTGTCTTCCTCCTCATCAAGTTGCACTCCAGAG